AATATTGCGTTTTCTGCTCTGGATACTACACCGGCAACGTAAGACGAATCGGTGACCAGATTGAATGGTTCAGGGAACTTCTCAAAGGCTCTGACGACTGCGTCCAACTCAGGTACTTGAGGTGATCCTTCAACCTCAGTAACTTCCGCCTCCCACCGCTGAGTTTGAGGATCCTTCCAAGTCATCACTGACTTGTGGGATGCTCCAGACGCGTCAGTAAACACAGTCAAAGCCTTCAAAGAAGTTCTACTCTGAACACTTTTTAAAGATAACGAGAATTGAGCATCCGGATTAAAAATTTTGTGGGCCAGCCGGTGGATCAAAATTTGGCCGGTGTAGCTATCCAACGCAAACTGCAAGGCTTCGTTTTCCTGAAGCAGGTGTTCCAACATTGCTTTAGAAATTTGGCCCGAATTTAATTGAACTGGAATGTGGATGCAGTCAAAATCCTGACCTGCCAGCTCCCTGATCCGCAACCTAGCCTTGCGGATCAGTTCCGCCACCAGCTCCTGTGGCCGTGTCATTCTTTTGGACCTATGGTGACTAAGGAACACCCACTCTATGATCAAGAGGGGGTCCTTAGTTCCTTGATCCGTTTTTGCTGTTTTGTCCCACTGAAAAATCACCCCATGGAGGTGTGGCAGTTTCCCTAAAATGATGAATTTGAATGGCAGGCCCGGATGGTAACGATGGGCCTGCCTGGCAGAGATGGAATTCTGGATTTTCTCCAGCGCAGCTCGTGCCTCTTGGGTAAGGGACCTAGGAGAACTGAGCTCCTCTCCCCCTTTCAATAAATTGAAAAGGGGGGCTAGGTTGCCGGTGGAAATGCCCAGCCAAGGTCTTACCCAATTCAAAGACCCACACAGTTGTTGGACATCAGATAGGGTCCGAATGTTGTTTCTAATTGAAATTTTTTGAGGCACAATAGTGCGTTTGCCAATTTCAAGACCCAGGTACTTCCAGGGTGGCATCCGCTGAATCTTATCTTCTTGGAGCTCGAACCCTGCAGCAATCAATGAACTGATTGTCAGGTCAAGCGTGTTTGTAAGCACATCATCAGCCGGAGCACACACCAGGATGTCATCCATGTAGTGGTAAATAATCAACTCTCTCGCTGCCTCCCGCACTGGGGACAGCAAGGAAGAGACGTACCATTGGCAGATGACCGGGCTGTTCTTCATGCCTTGAGGAAGAACACGCCAATGGTATCTCTTCCTTGGGGCTTCCTGGTTGATGGTAGGAACCGAGAAGGCAAAACGTGGAGCATCGTCAGGGTGAAGGGGAATTTGAAAGAAACAGTCCTTGATGTCAATGACTGCCAATTGCCAATTTTGGGGGAGCATCGTTGGGGACGGCATCCCCGGTTGGAGAGGACCCATGTCTTCAATTACATTATTTATTTGTCAGAGGTCGTAGAGGAGCCGCCACTTATCTTTGTTGGGTTTCTTTATGACAAACACTGGGGAGTTCCATGGGGACGTGGTCTCTACCAGGTTGCCCTTCAGCAGCTGCTCATCCACGAGCTCCTGGAGCGCCTTCAGTTTTTGTTTAGAGGGCGGCCACTGCTCTACCCACACTGGCGTATCGGTCTTCCAATTCAGTTTTTGGGTAGGGCGCTCTTCAGTGACCGCTGCCCGAGAAACCTGGGGAGCCGATGGAAGGTCAATTCTGGCTCCCCATTGGGCAAGGAGGTCTCTCCCGGACAGGGGTTCCGTGTAATCTAAAACAAACGGGCATACTGAAGCCAATTGCCCATCTGGCCCCTTAATTTGCACAATGCTCCGTGACTGTTTGGCCAATTGGATGCCCCCAACACCCTGGACTCGTCCAGCCACATCTTGCAATTCCCAATGTGACGGCCACTCCCTGGAGGGAATGATTGTCACATCTGCCCCAGTATCCAAAAGCCCTTGTAATAGCTTTTGGTCCCCACCTTTTTGCAAGCTGCAGGTGATACGTGGTTTTTCTCGGCTCAGGACCTGGGCCCAGGCTACCGCAGGTAAAGCTGTCTGTTGTCGAGGTTTTGGCAGCTCTGGGTCCCAGGTCAACTCAGGGACAGGAATGGCTTGTGCCACGATTTGTCCCTGAGGCAAAAAGGTGGGAGGGCGAATGCAGTACAGTCCAAGAGAAAATTGCCCCAGGTCTGAAGTTATGAGACCTGGGACAATGTTGATGTCAAGTGGGGTGTGTTTGGTGTCTCTGACCACGATGTACTTACATCTGATCCGACTCCAAGTACCTGTCACTTCAGGGCACACTGAGACGAAGTGGAAACTTGAGTCGCGAAGATGTAAAGACTCGGTCAGCTGCAACCTGAAGGGAGAAATTTTAGAAAATGTTGTTAAAATGGATCTGGGTATAGCCTGAGTATGATGAGTTAAAGGAGAATGGGTCAAGTCCGGTGAAACTGTGGCATCAGGCAAGCTCTGTCGGGACTCTCCCCCCTTTTTCGCCCCCCTCCACGGGATGTAAATGAGCCTGCCCTATTTGTATCTTGGCGCAAGGAGGAATCGCGCTCGACTCCTAGTTTTTTTGCTGAGTGTTCCCCTGAGGTCTTTGCTTCTTTTTAAAGTCTATGAATTCCTGCCTCAGGGGACAGTCTGGCATCCAGTGGCCAGTTCTCCTGCACACGTGACAGGGATCGGCGGTCCTGCGCGGCGCCCTTGGGGTAGTTGAAGGGTGGCTAGGGGTCGAAGGGGTTGAAACGGCAGCGATCTCTTCTGTGTCCACTAACGCAATTTTCCGGGAAGGTGTTCGGTGCTTGGAGTCGAGCTCCTCTGCCGGGATGGAAACTTTCCTGGTGCAGACCTCCAACATTTGTTGTAAAGTGGGAGGTGGGTCCAGAGGCAAGCTGAGGATGGCGGCTTTGCAGGCGGAGTTGGCATTTGCTGCCGCCACCTCAGTAAGGATTTCCATCCAAGCTGGACCTGCAATTCAATTGCCTGGCGGCGGCGCTCAACGAAAACAACAAACGATTCGTTAGAGGACTGGATAATTTTGGAATAAGTTAAAAGAGGGATGGAAGGGGATTGCAAACCGAAGAAGGCTCTTTCGGCCGCCTTGGCGCTTTCCTTCAGTACCTCCTCGGGGATGTACCACGCCTGGGAATGCCCATCCCCCCAACTCCCCATCCCATACAGGTGGTCATTGGATATTTTTCCCCCTTGCAGATCTGCGGCGGTGCGTGGATTTTCCCATAAAGACGGTAATAACTTGACAACTTCTTTTTTCCACGCACTTTCCCACATGATGTACTCTGTGGGATTCAGAAGGCATGAAAAAAGTCGCCGCAGATCCGCAGGGGTGACCACCAAATCAGAGAGTGTGGTCCTCAGGATTCCCCGGAAGTACTCGCTCTCACGGGAGTAATCCTTTTGGGCCTTACACAACTGCTTGATGACCTGGTGTGGGAACGGGGTCCATTGGACTTGGGCCCCTCCCTCCCTCTCTGGATGGTAAGTGACTGGAGCCGCCGATATAACAGGGATCAGCTCCGGACCCCGGCCCCCAGCCCCCCCCCCCCCCCCCCCCCCCTTGGGGGGGGGGTTGCGGCCCCCGGCCCCCAGCCCCCCCCCCCCAGCACCCGCTTGAGCGTGGGAATTGGAAGGGGGAGCGTGGGAACCGGAACTGGGAGAGGAAGAGGAGTGGCCTGGGATGGGGGCGGAGATGGTATTTTCGTCTCCGCCTCCAGGGCGTGGTAGGAGGGCAGAACCGACACTGGAGGAGGAGGAGTCGCGGAGGGAGGAGAAATGGGAGGAGACGGGGGTGGGGTGGTAGGAGAGATAGAGGAGGGGTAAGGGGAGGAGTCTGGAAAATTGAAGGGGTTGTTTAGGGAGCGAAAGGGATTGTGGGGAGAAGAAAGGGTTTTGGCGGGACGTGCCGTGCGGTCCACGCCACTTTGGGCTCCACGGGAGCCATCTTGTGAAAAGTCAGAGGGTGGGAGATTAAATTTAACTGAACGTTTAGAAACTGGGGACTTACGAACTGGGGAAAAAGGGGAACAGGGAGAGTCCCGAGAAGTTTGGCCAGAACTCCTCAGGCGGGGGGTTTGGGACTTTTGAGGAGAGCCAGGGAGATGGTAAAGACCCTGCGCGGTGCTGTCGCGGTCTGCCCCCCTCAAAATCCCAGTTTTCGGGAGAGCAGGAGAGGGAGAAGGGGTAGTATGGGAAGAACAGGGCAAACTGGGGTTCAAACTGGCTTGGGATGGCTGCCTCCTCAGTTCCACACGTGATTTTAAAATTTTTTGAATTTGCACACTCCAAAATGTTATTTTTGAAAGTGAAGAATCCCCTGATCGGCCTAATTCGTCTAATTTTGAGCAAACCTGGGTCCAAAACCGATAATCATTAATTTGGTCAGGGGATACTTCAGGGAACTGGGAAAGCAGCCATGCCGTAAGTTTTTGAATTTCACGTTTCTTAAACTTTTCAACCCCCCCACTAACAAGGATGCCCGCAACCTGGAGATAAAGTCTCTTCTGAGTTGCCGAGAAACGTGCACCCATATTTAGAGATTTTTGGAAAGATGGCAACTCAATCCACCCGCTGCCCAGAGAGAAGGAGAAAATAAAAGTGAAAAGGGGGACCTCCCACCGAGCCCTGCCGCCGGACTATGCCGGCAAAGGCCTGCGCAGTAAGAAAAAGGACCGAGTGAGGCGGTCCGAAAAGTTAAAAAGGCAGGGCAAAGAGAAAAGGGAAAGGGAAGAAGGACTCACGTTCGGCGGAGGTCAACTGAAATCCGGGGCGAGTGGCTCCTGTGGTGGGACCGACTCCGTGGGTGCTTGGAGCTGCCGATCCCGGTCTTCTGGGAGCGCCACCCACCAAAAAGGGGTCTGCTCTACCAGAGGTAGCTTGACGGCCAGAGAGGAACTTGCCAGAGTCCAGTGGGTAGAGCCCAATGGTTCCGGGATCCTTGTCCGTGGGGTCCGGTGGTGGTCTCGGCCCGCCCGACGTTGGGCGCCAAGCTGCAGCGGCGGCGGCTGACCTTAAGGTACATCCCGGCTAGCTGCGGCCAGCCGCCGCCGGCAGCACGGGGGCACTCTCCCGATCCAGGGCTCGGTCAGGGGAGCGCCTAAGGCTTTCGCCTTGAGGGACGAGGATCCGCGGCTAAGAGACAGAGGGCTGCTAACCCACAGGAGGCAAATGAAGAGACGGACTCCAGCAGTAGTGCAGTCTGGGTTTAATGCCCAGGGGACCTACCAGCTGAAGACAAGCCAACTGGGCTCCAATCTGGGTTTTTAAAGTGGGCGGGCGGATACAGAGAGGCAAAGTGGTCTTCAGCAAATCAGAGAAAAGGTGGGTGTGGTGGTAGGATAACAGACACATAGGGAAAACCAATGAGGGTAGAGCAGGGGTGGAGTCCTAGCCCCTGATCCAATCACTCGATGCCCAGGATGGAAGATTCTAGACAGAAGGGTTGGGGCACCGAGTGACAGACAGGGAACCAGGGAGGGACTGAGGGAATGGATACATTAGTTGCTAGGGGTAACAGGGAGGAGAGATTTGACGGATGGGGTGATCAAGGAGAGAGAGAACCAGGGCAGAACCATTACAACTTAAAGGGGTACAAGGAACAAACCAAATCGGCATATAACATAACAAAACACAATACAATACATGACCTTGTCTTTCTCCAGCTATTTCCCTTTATTCATATAAATTATCCCTCTTCTAATATCCTTTGTTCTGTGACAAAAATGTGGGGACTCTAAAACTAGAGGTTAATAAAGAACCAGGGATGGCATCAATGCAGATGAACTAAGGGAGCCTCTATCAATTCTCACTGTAAATAAACTCCAGAAACACTCTCCAGCCTTCTGCTTCCATGGCTCTATATACTGAAAGGATAAAATGTCCTATCAGCTGTTCAAGAAAATTAATCTGTTCCAACAGTACAGAGATGTGATGATTCAGAGAATATAAAAAAGAGTTATTATTTTACTCTGCAAGAAAATTACTCCTTCAGGGAAACAGTCCCACTAAAATTTGTATTGACTAGCTCAGGACATAATCTCTAGTCAAAGGTGTCTAACATAAATTTTCAGAAATACCTCTTCAGAGCTATGATCCTGAATAGTTTAGATAAAATCATAAAAATGGATATGACCACCCTGACTTACTTATTTTTTAAATGTATTTCTGCTACAACAATATACAGTTAACATTACCTTGTTTGCTGAGAACGCCCTCCAATTCTGAGATGGAACTGATTATTGCAGTATAGAGGTTAGAGCTAGCCAACCACCCAACTGCTTCATCACAGTCATCTCCTTCCTCTTCAAAGCCTGTGAAACAGAATTGCAACTAGCAGGATAAGTAAATCACTAAGATATGGCACACTGCTGCCTCCAGCTCTTTGAGAAATTTAGCAAAAATAAGCATGTAAACAAGAACATAGGACAATTTAGACTGTTTTAAGCATACTTCTAAAATGACTAAAAAAAAAATTAGATAAATCTTCTAATTTGGAAAACATTTTTAATACCACTTATCCTTGCAGAGGGGAGGATAAACTGGTCTGGCAACAGAAAGGGCTAAGTAGACATCATCTTCAAAGAAAATTTTGAAATCCTATGCTAATATTTTACCCGAATCAAAAAGCAATTTTGTGGGTTTTTAGGAAAAAAATATTAAAAATTATTAAAAAAAAAAAAAATTCCAAAAAGAAGAAAAAAATAATTCAGGAACGTTGCAAGATATTTACCACAGAGAAGATGCTGTAGCACCTAGTTCTGAAATCCATTACACAAATATCAAACATATCAGATAGTGTTGAGTTCATGTGCATAACTGCAATTTTGACTGCGACGCTAGGCATTTCGTCTTAGAGTGAAATACATTCTTGAAGCAATATAAAAAACATAAATCCATAAATAACATTTGTCAAAATGTCATTAAATATGTCTTTATGCCCCAGCAATAATAGTAATATTGCTCTTTTTATTCCCTAAGCATGTATTTTGATATAACTCTTTAATAACATTTCATTTATGCAGCGCATTATGACTGCCTCTGGATTCTCCCACACAAACTTGAATTCCATTGCTTCCTCTGGAGCCATCTGTCCAGACGAAAAAGGTACAAGAATATCGGGCCAGAGCCCTCAGCCTGTTAGCGGCCAGAACTGCAATCACAGCTCTTCGGAACACGTAAACCAGGCACTTGGCTCTTCTATGCCTCAGCCTGCCTTCGTCTTGGTTGCTTTCCACGATAGTAGGGAGATCATAAAGGAGCCTGATGATCTTCTGGTTCAATAATTGGTGCTGGTTCACCTGTTCCTGCAGAATGTCTCTTTGGCAAGACATAGCACTCAGTCGGCCGTAGAGAGGACGCAGGGCCCCTGACAGCAGCGCACAGGCTGCCAGCAGGGATGAGCGTGCCTTGAAAGCATCTAATAATGAATTTGTCATGGAATTGTTTTCATGGGCCAGTTGCTGGCAGATTTGTTCAAGGCCATACAGTTTTTGCTTGTTTTTCTGCACCGTTTCTTCACATTCCTGCAACAGAAACAAACCACACAAAAATGGAAGAAATATTAACTACATGGTTTTACCTAGACAAGAACTACAAGAAAATTTAGCTTTGCCATTCAAATGATGCATTAAAGGAGCAAAAATTGTTTGCAATGTTGGTGGTGAAAGTACCTCTTCTAGTAAACAATTACAGAATCAGATGTATGAAACCAAAACAATGGTAGGATGGAAATTCACATGATCATCAACTGCAGATGAACTCCTGATTTCTGACAACAATCCACCAACACCGTGACAGCTCACAGAAGGTCCAACACCACTTGTCTGCCCACAATACAGTTTTATGAGTTGACTTAACAAAAGTAATAACATCCTCCAATTTCAGAGAGAACACTGCTCTACCAAGCAGAAAGTTAGTGTGAGAGGAAAAACATAAGGAAGTCTGGAACATGAAACTAGACATTAAAGTTTTCAGCATGCAAAGACTTCCAGTCCTGAAGTTGCATCAAATACAGCATTATTCTGTGAAGTAAGTTGCAGTAACTGACAAATAACAAAGAACATCTATTTCCTTTATTCACAATGCTTTTAATTGAAACAGGTGTGAAGGAATGTGATGATAAAGACAGTAAATGGTAGCTGTGGAATAACAGGGAACATTTTTAATTGCAAATAACCCATCTAACAAGCAGTGACAGTTTCACACTTTTAAGGCACTTCTCACTGTACTATCAGAAAAACAGAATCACTTAACTCTCTTGAAATCTACCAGTGTTCTCAGTGTCAGTACATATGTAACTGAATTTATCCCCAGGTGGTACCACATTGTTGTTATTCTATACAATCTCTGCAAATGATGGTGCTGAAAAAGTAGCTGTTGCCCTCAGTAATTCTTAAAACAAGGAAATTTGATCTTACAGCTTTAACATCCTCAGAAAAAAAATACTACCATCTGTAGACGAAATCAACTGGGGCTGAAGACCAAATTCTCTTCAACAAATGCTTCATCAAAGTCATTTATTTCTTATTTTAAGTGATGTTAATATTATCACAGTGATGGGTTGGTTTGTTGTTTGGTTTTGTTGGTTTTTTTTTTTTCACTTTAAACATACACTAAAATTTCCAAATTACCTTAAACTGCTAAAAGGCTTAAACTATTGAAATAATCCACTAAATTTTTAAAGAGAAAAAGAAAGTAGAAGTTCACAGCCCCGTACCTGTGCTTTTGCATGAACTTCTGCAAGGCGATTTGAGTACTGCTCTTCAAGATATTGCTCTTCTTTCTGCCAGCAATGTTCCTGTGCTTTTAACAGTTCAGACATTTTCTCAAAAGCATCCTCCTGATTCTTCTGAAGGTCATTCATAGTGTCAGTCTTGTGCTTGAAAATATATTCTAGATGAGATACCTGTGTGACAAGCATTTAAGAAGAAATTATTTTTTACCTTTTCACGTTAAGAACAGACTATTCCAGCATAAAATCTAAACTGTAATTTTTTCAATATTTTTATTAAAACTAACTAAAACCCTTTCATGGCAATTTAATTACTTGGTTCTCAAAACAAAACTGAAATATATTTTGAAACAAATATATTTTGGTTTTGGTTTTGCCATCTTTGTACCACCCTGCAGATGTTTGTCATCCTATTTACAGGAAACCTGAGCCAGACACTTCATACCTTTTTTTTTTAATTATTGTATTAAATTTTAGTAAATTAGTTATCCAAGTATAATTAAAAAACAGACTTTAATTTTTTATTTGTTTGTGGTTTTTTCTTTTGTTGAAAAGCCAAGACATTCCAGATTATTATTAAGTTTTAAAACACTTTCAGGGAATTCTATCATAAAGAATGTTTTCCTTACAAGTAGCTCATAAGTTTATGATGTGTTTTCAACAAATATGAAGGGATTCACTCTTGTGATTTATCACCGCACCTCCCATGCAAACTAAATGGAGGAATGAACCAAGCCAACAATGATCTCCAAATGCACACACCTGAGCTATGTTCCTAGAAAATATTAGCAAGATACTTCCAGACAGATTACACTGAACTGTAGGAAAGTTTTGTACAGCACAGTCTAAAATCCCAGAAAAAGTTGCTAAGTACATGAGAAGAGCCCTAGGGACCTCACAATCAGTCTCAATAACAGTGCTTAATTAAAAAGCAAGGAACAATAAGACACAAGCCCTACAAACACTGCCAACAATGTTCACCCCCTTCCCTTCCCTTCCCTCACCTACTTCAAAAGAGAAATAAATCAGAACACAAAGTGAAACCCTAAAGAGTGGCATAACTTAGTCTCTGGACCCAGCAGAGTTATTTTAAAAGGGGCTTTTTCCTTCCTAAAACTACAAGGTTTTCTGGGGAGAAAGGCCACGTAAGCTCACTTGCATTAAAACCACTCAGAAAACTACAGCTCCTCCTTCATACAAATATTGATATGTTTTGTAATAGGTATTCCTATTGTGTTTCTGAATAAAAACATCATAATCCAAAGTTACAATTAAACAAAAAAACCCACATTGGCATTCTTTCAAATACTACATCTGAATCATAAACACATAATTAGGTGATATCCTGGAGAAGGTGTATTTTGCCTCTGGATTAGGATAAAATAAAGACTTGCTTTATGACTGTAAATGACTAAGTTCAGTGAATTTCTTCATCAATAAGATGAATTTGTTATCTTTTAATTAGGTTCCTGTGGCTAGTATCAGATAGTCCTTTCAGAATATCCTGCACAGAAGGTGGAGCTGAGATTTGTTGCACACTCCAGTCACATCTACATGCCCCTGGCAAAAAACGGAGCAGTGGAAAAGCCATAACTAATGGTGTTCATTTGTTAGCGTCCAAATCCTCTTGGGGGCATGAATATGTCACTGAGCTCAGAAGAGGCAGCTGGTGCCTGGGGACACTAACCCTCTCGTTAGCCTTGTGGAAGTTCAAGATCAGAGCTTCAATATTCTCATGCAACAATGCACAAAGCTCTGTCCAAGGTAACTGCTCCAGGGGGACATTTGTCTGTTTGGCAAGCACGTGGGCGTTTGCCATGCTCTGGTACAAGTTCAGGAGGATGGACAGCTCCCTCTGGAACACAAAGGAAAATTAATTGCTGTAGCTGGGCAATGTTAAAAGCAGTGCATCATATGTGTAGTAGCAGTGCTGCCTGTAGCTGAAAACAAGCCCTCAAAGTTCATTCTCACAGCTTTACAAAATTCCTCAGTTCATTTCTAATAATTGCAGCCATAATATTGTATAATATTGCATCAGAGTAAGAAAACAGATTTCACGAAGTTTTTCTAATAAGACAAAGTATGTAAATAAAGTATGTGAGTAAATCCCAGTCCTGTGGGGCCACAACCATGACCTGGCACAGATAAAAATATCCATGCTCTTAATGGATGCAGTTCATTCACCCATGTTAATACTCTGAGGTGCATTCAAACTGTGCCCCAACACCTGCACAGCACACAGAAAACTGTCCAGTTGGCTTGGCAGCATAACACACTCTAAATTATTTTAAAAATTTGGTTTTCATGGGTTATATATGATTAAATAGCTGGCCAAAATAGGCCTACAACTCCATCAAACTCCAGCAAGCCATGCCTTGTTTATTGACAGTGATTTTAATCAGTGGTATAATAAATTGATTTAGGTTATAAATAAATTCTAGCAACAACAGCATGCAGTAGAAATACAGTTCTTCATTCTTTTAATACATACAAGTGACTTAGAGACTTTGGTAATTAAGGTAATAGAAAGCTGTTTCTCAAATGCCCTGAGGACAAAGTATGTAAACTGCTGTATCAGCATAGTCAGAAATTAATATAAGATTATCAAACTGGAGTGGAAAGAACATATTCAGGGAGCATAAAAGTGGTGTAAAATATGAAAAAATACTGTATAGGTCAGGAAAGCAGGATGGGAAAACGAAGGTAATAGAACACACTGACATTTAACACAATTTAAGCATGGGTATAGCAGAGACCAACAGCAATATATCAGAAGTTATCTATTCTTAGTTTCTGCTACAGTCTTCTGCTTTTTCATTTCGGGAAGCAAAATCAAAGCTATCTCAATGGAGTAAACAGGATCTCATACAGGCACTACTGCTTCCCAAATACAAACAGCTTTGGGAAAAATGCAAAGCCATCCAAGGCAATAAACACCTGATCTCATAAGGGAACCGCTAATACAATTCTTCCAAAAATGAATATTTTTATCGCCTGCTCAGGACAATCCTGTGGTTTGAAATCCTTTGAGTAAAATGATTAAAACAACCAGCTCTATGAATGTGACAGTGAGAAAATGTTTTTTTTTTTTTTTTAACCTTTCAGTAACATAACATTAATTTTGAGTCCACCATTAAATACTGTTTCCATTACCAGAAATCTTGATTGTGAATGGAATCTTGTTCTGAATTCTTGTCATGTATAACATATGTTTTACTAAGGAATACAAATAAAAAGGAAAACTCTTACCACAGCAACAGCTAGCAAGCACTTTAGGTTTCTAGTAGAATATTTTCAGCTTGTAAATGTGTTTTGTAGTTATAAATAGCAATCATTGATGCCTGTAGTTAGGGCAGACAGTGGCTTTTCTCTCTAGGTATTCCTTTTGTTCCTGATGAAATTACTTTTTCAGGCTAACTAGGCCAGCAAATGTCTTTTAATACATTAATGCTTGCATAGAAGAAGCTGTTATTGTCCCAGAAAGGAAAAAGAAGATTCTGACTTCATTTGTCTTCAGTTCATGAATCACAGATCTGCCTGGGCAGTGGACAACACTAAGACAAAGTGTGAAATAGCTCCATCAACTGAACAAAAGACAGGCACAAATCTGAAGACTCTCTGATGCAGGTACCTGCTCCTGGCAACAGGGAACAGACCTCATCTACCTTCCATGCTCAGAGCTCTGAGAGAGAAAGAGGAGAAGTTTCCAAGCCAACACCAAAAAATTTTATATTGCTAAGAGTAGAAACAGAGCAAATGTTACCACATTAAATTTTTTAAAAGGTAGCATAATAACAAGAAGGGTAAGAGAATGGCAGAGTTCTTCCACAGCTCAGCACAACAAATGCAGCAAATCCTCAGCACAGTAAATATTTTGGCAGTGTGTTTTTAAAAACCTAAACAATGGGGGTCACATTTTTTCCTTACTATTGAGTTTTTTTTTTTTTTTTTTCTATTTACTATTCATTATTTACTATTGAGGCTTTTTCCTATTCTGTTTACTATTGAGGCTTTTTTTCCTTACTATTGAGCCTTCATGCAGGCTGAAGCTGGCTGGAGGATTCACTAATGTCCCAGAGGATTCTTCAGTTTCCTTCCTTTTTTCAGCCTGGTCTTTTCATTGCACACTTAAGGATAAATGCTGTCTTCGTGAACTGGAAAGTTTCCACAATAAGATACTTTAACCAAAATTACTTCTGTCAAATGCACTGTGATCTTTTAAAGGATAATCAATGGATGTGGCAGATACCACTTTAGCACATCACATGGCTTCTGAAGTTGCTTGCCTTTCTTAATTGAATGAAGAAATTTATATTCCTTCTAAGAAAGATTTTTCAATCTAATCAAGAGGTTATATTTCAGTTACCAAGCCTCGTGTCATACAGTTCATAAGATTATGTGGATATGGCCTCAAAGTTACATATAACAAGCAGAATTCTTCATATTTTAATTAACACAACAGCTGTCTTCAGAGAGACCATGTCACATCTTGCATCATCAACCTTGATTTCAAGTACAGTTCTTGCTCCTAAGGTTTCCACATGCTTGCCTCTACTCTGTCATGACTTTTAAAGCAGACTACCCAGAATTTTAATTTGTTCTTGTACTGTGTCAGTCAGTTGGATCATCTTGCATCATCAACCTTGATTTCAAGTACAGTTCTTGCTCCTAAGGTTTCCACATGCTTGCCTCTACTCTGGCATGACTTTTAAAGCAGACTACCCAGAATTTTAATTTGTTCTTGTACTGTGTCAGTCAGGAAAACATATATGAAGAGCCTGACATGACTAAACAGGCAGCTGATGAGGAAACTACAAGACCAAACAACAGCATAAAGGAGACAGAAGCAGAGATACAAATCCAAGGAAGAATTTAAAAAGATTGCCTGATACTGTGCCTAAATTGAGAATTTAGGCACAGTATCAGGAAAGCCAAAAGCTTGCTTAAAATTTATGTTTGCAGAGGATGACAAAGGCTTTTCCAGCTCAAGTTTTAAGTACCTTACTAAAAACATCTCCATAACCATGAATCTTGAATGGGTTGCTCAGGCCACAAACTTCCTTTCTTGTAGGAAAACCAATTTTTTTCCTTCTCCACTACTGCTTGTGTGAGTAAGTCAACATAAACACCTGTGCATACACACCCATGTAGTTCTAGGCTGAAAGAGAGGTCACCCAAGTTCTGTTACCACAGACACAGCAGACTGTGCTGGGCAGGAAACATCCCAAGAGGTTTCCTCTGCTCTCACACATTTCAATATTTTTTAACTGTTTAAAGCTTTCTACAGCCATTCAAAAGTTGAAAACAAAGATTACCCACTATAAATGATACACAAATTCTTGACAGAATTCTTAGAGATTCAACTGACTCAATGAAGTGGAAAACAATGTTTTCATAATAATCTAAGTGTATATAGAAAAGCCATCTTTTCCAGACCTGCTGACTCTGTTTTCCTACAGTCACCCCAACCACTGCTGGAGGCTTGACCTTACCATAACTATGATTTTCAAAATTTTTGGTTTGGCAAATAATCTGTAGCAGGCCAGTTATCATCTGTACCCATTCACAACACCTTTGGTTACTGATATGGGCCTCTTATTAATGGACTGCCAGGTTCTGAACCTTTAGTTTGGTTTGGCACATTGCACTAGATTTTCTGCTGACTGAAAATTGCAGGGAATGTAAACTACGAGTTGTACTCAAGCTGTCTACTGCCATATTGCAATGGCTTTAAAAGGAAACTTACCCTTTTTTTCCTCTCTCCTATGCATTTTCTGACTCTCTGAAATCATTTCTTGCTACCCCTGAAAAACCTTCTCTCGTCCCTTCAAAACATCTTCAAGTTCTTGAATTCTCAACTAACAAGAGATAAGAAAGCAGTTACAGGAAGTTAGGAAAACTGCCATGGTCTTTAATGCTGTTCACTGTTCTGTTCTGCTTTTTACAGGTGAATATATTCTATTAATTCTACATGGAATTAGAAAGCATTGAACACATGTAAAAATGTATCAATACATAGAGTTCAAAATAGAGAGAAATAGATATGCTGACCAAAAGCACATTTTGTTGTCTTTTCATGGTATTTGGATTTTCCTGTTTTCAATTATTTTTATTACTGAAATTTTCCAGGGGAATTCTGTTCATTAAGTAGACTCATAAAAGGGTGGGATTAACAGTAAAAGCTGCACTCAGAACAAAGCTCATGTGGAGTTTGTTCATGTACATAAACAAGGAAGAAAACATTCCTAGTTCTTCACACATAAAAGACAAATGTCTAATTTCAAGGAATGTTACCGTTCTAGTTCCTTTGTATGTTGTAAAAGTAGAGAGGGAATAAAAAACCTGAATCATCACTACTTATTTAATCATAATTCAGAAATCTAAGTGCCTGTACTTAGAAAAGGTCGTAAGAAAATAACTGACTGAAGAAGTGGCAATGCTTGTTTGTGTTCCTCAGAAAACAAGAAAAACAACATGAAATTCCATTTTGTTTTCTCATTTAGTTTTTCAAAAATCCACTATTAAGGCTTTGTTAGTCAGTACAAGATCAATCAGCAATCATCTTACAGATTTTTTACTGTTTTTTTTTTTTAATAAACCCTAATTGCTTTAATGGATTAAACCCTGTGTGACACAGTTAAATAATAAAAGAATTTAATATTCAAGTACACATACAAGATTTTTTTTTTTTTTTGTATATTCAAACTTTCCTGGTAACAGCAGATGTAATAACTGAAATGTACTCTGAATAATTACATTTGGGACTGCAGTCTCAGGATGCATTAATATCTCACACCTAGAGAAGTTGGGTGTATGCACTGTACCTCCGAAATTACCTAAGTGCCCATTCCAAAGATATAGGGCATATTATAGAATTTATTATATAAATAGAATATTTTAGCAATTTAACTATTGTGAAGCATTTCCTTTCCCCTCACTATTTCAATGCTACTTTGAATTCTCAAACATAAGAATGTGACATTTTATTTTAATATTGATTCTTTTAACTTGATAGTTCCCTGAAAAATAAAGGAGATATTTTTCAATTACCTTTTACAGTCTTGACAATCATTGCAAAAAATCTACTCAGTGTTTTCACTGGAGCAAGGAAGTCTTAACATTTTTGGAAGATTGTACCTTTGCAAGTTCATCTCCTGCTTTACTGCAAACTTCTACCAAATATTTAATTTAAAATTTACCTGCATGATTTCTATAGTGGATTTACAGTCTATATGTGCTAGTTTTGCTACTGCAGCATTGTCCTCCAGTTCCTTTATTTTCACTGCAGCTGCCTAAAAGTACATTTTGAAAATATTTAAGTCCAGAAAGATGGTAACATCACGCAAAGACAACTTTATTTGTTCCATTTACTAGGTCTGTGTAAACCAACCTGTGATATCTGAACTACTTGCACTTTGGAACTGTGAAAACTCATATCAATAAATAAATTAAAGGAAACAATTATATATCCAGAATATTAAAGTAACATTTTCTCTTTAGTTAAAGAAATTGACATAGGATTATGTTCTTGCTCATTTTTTATATTCACAGATACCTATCTCCATATAAAGGCCTGGACATGGTACTTCAGTTGAAAAAATGCTTTTAGCAAAAGCAGTAACTACAGAGCTGCTATAGTAGAAATTCACATGCAATTTTAACTACACCGTTTCCTATCAAAAACATCTTCTCACTTTGACTGATGACTGATTTGAAAAGACAAATACACCCCAAAATGACTCCTGCCTTCAAGTGATGCAACAAAGATCAAGAAAAAGTCATTAATATTAAAAGTAATTTAAGACACTTAAGATTACACAGATGAAAGTGAAATCATTAATTTTGGACAGGTAAGGCAAAGTAGCAAGGATGTGAGACTGAATCCTGACTCTAAGCACTTCAGTTAGGGAAACATTAACTGAAAAATAAATAAATAAAATATGCTAACATACGAGTTGTTGGCAATAAATTTAAACTCTGTAAAAACTCATACATTCACAAAAGGAAAATAATTGAGAAACAGAGATCTGTGGAAGGCCTATTAAAGAGAAAGTCACGGCACAGAGCTTACCAAACCTGCTGCACAACAGCATCAGCAAAAGGCTTAAGCTTTGCCTCCTCCTACAAGATCTATCTGCTTAACATGCTTAAATAAATTTTAAAAAAATTCACAAATCCTGCACAAATACTCCCTCTATGCCTCTATATTGCTAAGAGTACTTTTTCAGTGACATAAACCTCTTCCCATCTGCAGTTCAAACACCAGTCTCAGGTCAGGCTCACAGCATCCACCTGTGAATCCACCTTTCCTGCATTTTGTTAATCAAACACAAGGCACTCATAGCCTAACTCAGAGGTTTCACCCCTCAAAAATGAAACTGCTCAGTTGTGCCAGTGCTTGCTGCAACTCCCAGCAGCAGGCAGAAAGCTTTACCTTCAATTCATTGACGAGTCTCTCCTGCTTTTTGTCCTTGAAATCCAGACGGTTGGCCTGGAGCTTCAGCATCTTGCTGCAGCCATGCTGCTCTGCCTCCACATCCTTAAGCTTCCTGTCTATGCTTTGCAGGGTAACATTAGTTTTCTAAAGATAAACAGGTAAATGAATAAATAAATACATCAAGAGGTACTTTTTCTAAGACAGACTATTTCAGTAGAAAGTTCAACAGAGGAATGGAGACTGCATCAGAAGATGATGTTAGAATTTTAAAATCTAAGACACCAGCACATGTCAACAGAAGTGTTTACCCAACAGCAGACATGCTTTTGATTCACCACCAAGAAATCTGTGTTGGCCCAAAAATCACTGTGAACATGACCTTCTGTGGTAACACTAAATTCAGAGCCAGATCTCCACAGGAAATCTTTCCCTAAAGGAGTACAGCCCTTCCAATTTCATCTGTCTACCAGCTCAGTGGCAATGATAGAAACAGAGTGCATTTAGTAAAGTTGTGCATGGGGACAAAAGTTCATTTTTGTTATGATATTGATTGCTGAAACTTCAAATCATATGTTTTTAGAAACAGTTACGCCCACAGACGACATAATTTTAATTTCTGCTATTCCAAAAAGGATTTTCTTCTATCTAGAAACTGAATTACTTTAAAAAACTTTATGAAATATGAAGTCAACAGTAGAATACAATAATCTGGTCCCCACTTCAATTTCTGCTTACAGAAATTGAACTAAGCTGCAGGCTGGGAGCATTAGTGACATTACTGGACACTGCAGCTCTATGAAGTCACTGCTACAGAATCCCCATAGTCCATATGAATTTGGATTAAATTTAAGCTAATCCTCTAGCTTTGCATGTCCAGCAAGACAGGTTTCTTCCCTTCAGAAAGCAAAATAAATAAATAAATTAATCAAACTGTAGCTTTAATACATTGACCAACAAAGCCCCTACAGCCACTGCCACAGAACACTGCCAGGGAACTGACAAAGAACACAAAGTCCTGAGCCTTTTGTCTCCTGCTCCTTTTGTCCTTTTTCAAGGACAAACATCACTTGACAGAGCATAACATACTTTTTCAACACTGATATTTTGCTGCAGCATTAAACTCTCTGAAGGTAGCTTCTGCAAAACACTGTACACAACAGAAGGCAACACCCTTCCAGAGCCTCCTCAAACTAACTCAGCCACTTGCTGTTAGCCAGAACTCAGAGCTTACCCTGCTGCACCTGGCAACTTAAAAAAGAAAACTCTCTCTAAAAGTAGGCTTCTTCACAGCCTACTTCCTGCCCTATCTTTACAAGAATCAGCTTTGAATGAAAACTGGCTTGTGTTTCTGCTTGTTTGGAGAAGGACCTTAGGTCCACAAGCTCCTCTGTTTTTCACTAGCACTGTGTACTGATAACTTGGGTTAGGTGTTCGCCATGACAAACAGCCACAACATGTTCCATCAAAGCCCCAAACCAGCATTACACACTAAGTGTAACTCCATAAGGCTGTCATCTTCAGAACTATTCTGCAGCATTTAACTATCTGGGGGAGATTTTTTTCCCCTTGGACCAGAAAAACCCTAACTCACCATACACTTTGCACCAAAAAATCTTTCAGCCAGCATCTCATGGAACTTTCCATCTATGAGTACATCACACCTGACAAGTTATTTCTGCTTCAGCTTTTTCTTTCAAAAGGAATTCCAGTTCAGCAAGGTGTACTTTGCAGATATAATCCCTCTCCACTGCAAATCTTTGTTGCTCCTCTTCCCATTGCCACTGAGCACTTGGAACCATTTTCTCAGTCTCTGATGCTTTCTGCTGATGTTTGTCATTGAGTACTGATCTTTACCAAAAAAAAAAAAAAAAAAAAAAAAAAGGATAAAGACAAATAGGCAAATAGCACTGCAAATAAGCATGTTCAGAATTAAACTATAATGAACATAAGTTCCTCTGTGTATTGTGATATCCTGTGAAACACTGGAACAGTAACACTTCCAGTTTCACTACAGAGAAACAATCACATTTTGTGCTTCTGTAGCATCTTTCACACAAGGACAGAAATGCTTTAGAGATTTCTACAAATTAAAGCTCATCTCCCTTTGGAAAGGAATAAAAATTCAACTCCTTCAAGCGAGGCCTCTATAGCATGGGGAACTTAATTGCCATTTTCTGCAGCACTTGGTTAGCTTATTTCCAAATATCTATGAGATACTTGAGTCTGTATCAATTAATTTCAAGCTCAGTTTAAGTAACAGTAAAATCAGACACCTGCCACATGAAGATGACTCCAGGAAAACCTAAGGCAGGTTGGGCTAATGAGCAAAGGCTTGGCTTTTCTGGGGAAATTTACTGCTGCTTAAGAGATTTAAATCTTCAGCCCAGCAGCTGCCCCAAGATAGGGAAATACTGGATCTACTTCTCTGTGAAAGCTTAAATGCCAAGGAAAAGTTCTTTTCCTAAAAGCAGTTTTACTAGGAACTTTGCTTCATTTCACAAACTCAGTCAAAATATTTTGTATGAACTTTTAAGGTTACTGAGTACAACTAACTATGTTGGCATTTATGTGATCACCACTTTCTAACAGATTTTTATTTCAAATTCATCCCATTCTTCTGAAATTTCTTCCTAGCTGGAGAAGGGTGAAACAACCAGAAGAGACATGTTGGGGAAAACACAGAGAATTATGACACAATGATGGAGAAGACCTGTCAGATGTCAGGAAGTCAAGCCTCAAGAAGGACAGCAGAAGAACAGTTTGGAGAAAATACTGAAGACAGGGCACAAGTGAGGTGCTCTGTCCAAGAAGTTAAGTTGAGATTGTATCAAAAACACTACATGAGGTGAGCAAAGCTCCAAGAGACCAGGAAGAAGAAGCAGTAAGTTAAAAACTGAACAAGAAATGAGAAGCAACATTACAACTATTTGGCTTCTTTGACATTTGTCACAATAAAAACAAAACCAGAAAGAAAAAAAAACAAAAACAAACAAACAAAAAAAACCAAACAAACAAAACAAACAAAAAACCACAACAACAAAAAAGAGTTTGAGAACTTTAAACCAACCAAGATTTTTGTAATTTGTGTGTTCTCCAAATGAATGGAAGTGCAGATTTCTTATTATCTTAAAAAAAAAATGGTAGTACAAGTGCACTTTCAAGTTTTAGAGTCTCCTTCCACCTTTGTAAGGTTACAAACTCCAGGAGTGCTCCAGTCTTTTCAGTGAACACCAAATGTTCACAAATACATCTCCTGTAGTAAATTTAAACAATATTATACCTGTACTAAATTTAAACAGTATTACACTTACTGAGATAACAAAAAAAAGCATCCCTCCAGCTTTTAAATGTGAGAAATCTTTCTCTGATAAGCAGGAATTGGAGAGAGACGCCTTTATTACAATTCTGTACATACTGAGGGAAGGAATAACAGAAGGTAAGGAGCAAGAGGAAAATAAAGGTATTGATAGGCTTAGCAGGTTATATTTAATTCATATTAGACAGCACGGGTTTTATAAACTCTTATGAGCTTACAGAAGCAGATGAGTAAGACATCAGAAAATAAGACACTCAAAAAAGTTGTAACTGTAAAGCCTTGTGCAATCTCTGCTTGTTTTAATGACTTGGGACTGATGTAGCCCCTGGTCTATGATTTCTCTTTTTCTTTTGAAAGTTACTTTGAAGTTCCAAAACCTTGCTTTTTACATCATACAGTTCATCCTCTGCAGAACACATCTGTATATGAGCTTCTCTTCTAGCAAATGACATTTCACTCTCCAGATGTTGACAAAGAACTCCTCTCTCAAGTTCCAACCTTAATTTTGTTATTTCTTTTTCATAGCGAGACATCTAGAAAATAAATATTTCAGAAACTGCATTCACAGCTGCCATCATATCCCATCTGAACTTGAAATACAGTCTTGAAACTGCACATTTTGGATAGTTTTTTGGGTTTTTTTTTAATGCAGACTGATCCTGTTCCTAGATCATTTTCATGTACCTTAAACATACTTCTCTGTTTTTCCAAACATACTCTGCCTTAAGAAAATAAAAACTGCAATTATATTCCACAGGCAATTTTCTGGTAACTGTATTTAACAACTAGAAAAGCAGTTGTGTTGGGATACTAGATTATCAGACACCTAGTAACTCATTATGTAAACACAAACTTCAGTCCAATGATGTTCAGCAGTCAAGCAGAATGCTATTGAACACAAAAAACAAAACAAAGGAAAGGCTTCAAAAAGGGTTCTTATCTGGTGTAAGAAAGATAGAATAGTCACTGCTGCCAAAAACTGGACCCAGGAAACCACATTCAAGCCATTTGAACTCAAGAAGGTGGAAAGTAAAACATGCATTTCTTCAGAACATCTACAAAGCAGCAGCATCCTTATTAACAGGAGCTCCATTCATGGGAAATAATTTAACCCCCATTGCAAGGGTTTTCCCTGATGCTCTTGTGGCAAACTAGTACCCAAATGAAGTAGCAGTGAGAAAATACTTCATTAAAATTTTCTTTAGTTTGAATTTTATTACTGCTATAAGTAACAATTCTGCTCTTAGCAGTTTGTTAGGGGCAGCTGCTGTGGGCGCTCATTCATCTGTTTTCTACTGAATACAGCCAATAATCTCAGTTTGTTGTTCCCTAGCCATTAATTTAAAGATTCCTGCTTTTTACACAGTGGCTTGCCCTTGTCATGTTCCCTTTGCTCCATCAGTGGTGGGGTGATTCCGTAAAATAGATCCCTGGAATTACTGGGATTAAAACCCTCAAACAAACAAACCACATCTTACATTGAGAATTCCAAAGCTGGGGGTGCAAAATATTCTTCTGCATGACTTTAGTGTTGTGTAGTGCTCAAGTTTCTTACACACACCTTCAATTATTAGCAATGACACTAAAAGTGATATCAGTTCCTATGGACAGGCATAAGATGTCTGTACAGTGCTACTTGGTTATTTTCCAACTACTGAATGTGATTTTGATTCACCTGATGAGAGGATTATTTCAAGGAAACAAATTGCATTTAAGGAAATAAATTACATTTGTTCCAAGGGTAAAATAAAGCAAACAAACAAACAAAAAAAGTCCTTACCTCTTGATTGCATTGATTGTTTAATTCCAAATTTCTCCAGACTATGGA